TAATTTAATTCAGGTCTCGTTTACGGGGTCCGTTTCCGCGGTTCCGTTACGGCCTCGTGTGAACGAACGGGCTATACGCAAGAGAAAAGTAGCAGATACAACCCGTTTCCTTCTCGTGTAAACACCACCTTAGTGAGGCTTTCTAATGTAAACAAAGACGAGGTTCCGTCCAAAACACGTCAGGCATTGTTTCTGATAGCAACTTTCTGTGGGTCCGCCGCCGATTTGACGTCATATCGGCAGCAAATCTGTATCCACTCGTTGTAACCCCGTTTTTAAAAGATTTGGGTACGGAGGAAAAGAGAGAGGGTTTTATTTTCTGACGCTGCGTTAGTTCCCCGACACACCGGGGACACATCAAAAAGACATCAAAAAGTGCATTTTGCATGATAGGTCCCCTTTAAGTAATCACATTAGTGCAGAGAACACTGACATCCTGGGAAATGACTTGCCCTGCGTTCCCACTGCTGCTGTGAGATAAACCTGTCCATCAAGCATAGGATTTGTTATAACATGCAATAGACTTCAACGTAGGAGAAGCTGCAACACTTAAACTAGAGGTATAGAGTTTTGCAGTGATTACATATTTTTGTAGGCCAACGTGGAAGTTAGCACCGCAAAGCTTGCTTTACAAAAAAGCATTTGACCATTAGATTTAAGATTATTGCAGAAAATACGATGTGTGGCAAACACATTTTTATGATACTTACACATTTTGGCAGGATAATCTCACACCACTTTTATTATAGTTTATAAAAGTGTATCTGGAATCCAGAAGTAAAAACCTAAGATAATGCTATAAAAAAAATACATGACCATCTGATGGCTAGACGTCACCACTGCTAAGCTAAAAGCAGCTAATGTTAAATGCATTTCGTACTCGACCGCTGTTTTAAAGACACATTATGAAGTTTCAGAAATCTCAAGTGGAGCAATAACTGATGTACTTGGTGTCGTAGACTAAATGAAAATTAAAATCTTGCAAGCTTGACTAACCACAGACTTGATTTTTGGAATCTAACCAAAAAAAACATTAATTTCGAGATGAGGGAAGCTAGAGGTGCTAAAATGCTTACTCATTTACAGGTTTAGGATTTATTCTTGCACCACTCTATTGACAATAGTGGAACAGCAGGGACATTTTTATGGAAATTAGGTTAAATAGATTTTAGGCTCACTTGGTCGGCATTGTTAAAACATTTGAAGAACACACTTCCAGGCTCTGCATTTAACCCATCATGGTATAAGCAGCACCAGGCAGCTGCAATACAGGACTCAGTGAGCAGTTAGGTGATATGGTGCATTGCTCAGGAGGAGTACCTTGGCCGAGCCCAAAAGGTGAACTGCCACATGAAGCAAGCTGGCACAATAGGAGCATATGAGGCTTAGTTACTATTTTATAACACTGTCATTAAATCACCTTGACATGAGGATTTATAAAGTAATATCAAACTCACAGGAGGGGAGTTGTAGCGGATGCATGGGGAGCTGCCACAGGAGCTGTCCGTTACTGCGTTGGAGGTGCTAGGCACCGGCACCGGGCACGCTGAGGGGGAATAAATAAAACCAATTAATCAAGTCATAAAGTTGGATGATGTAAACTTGAAGTACAGTTGTGTTGTTTGGGGAATGTGCCCTTTGTGCTTACATTTTTTTATGGTGACTATTGGCACCAGGAAAGGATGGCTGAAGAACGCGTCTGCAGAGTGAGGGGGTTAGAGGGAGAGAACAGTTTAGAGAACACACATCGAGACAGAGATTATGTACATTTAACAGAGATGCATTTAACACTTCATGTTTAATTACTACTGACCAAAGTCCATCCTGTCTTTCTGGTTCCTCTGAAGCAGCCCAAGCAGAAGGTGGCCAAGTTGTTGGGAGGTCTCCCTTGGGATGCTGGGTAATGAGAGCATAAATACATTAATATGATTCTTATTGGGTGCATAAAGATCTCCCCAGTAAAGTGGCTCTGTGAGGCTGCACTGAGGATCAGGGGGAGCTATGCTTAAAGAGCCTGTGACACGAGTTTCCCCCATCATCCAAACCCATCAATTTGAGTAAATATTGTCCCCTTGAAAACCGTTACTGAACTGATTTTGGATATTTGTACTTTGATAACCATTAATCTGCCCTTCAATGTTGACAATTTTCTAGATCTTCTCGGGGATTCTTCAAGTCCCGCCAAATTATGTGTGACGTCATTGCGGGCACAGCGCTCCAGCTGCACCGTTCCGGATCCCAGCATCTGCATGTAAACGCACGATGGGGCACACAGCAGCAAGCTCAGACAGCGATGACAGTTTAATTTTGAACGTGTCTGAGAGCTCATATGAGGCTGAAGGATCGGTTTATTTGTATCTGTTAGAAGTTTAGGAATTAGGTGCGTCAATATGGGCGATCATACGGTCATGTAGCCAGTGGTGGACTGGGACTAAAAATCAGCCCGGGACTCTCGACCGGCCCACTTCGGTACCACTAGTAAATTGTCAACGGGGGGAGTGGGGGATGTGCTAGTGACTGATCCGACCGGCCCACTTCGGTACCGGCCCATCGGGATTCGTCCCGATGGCCAGTCCGCCACTGCACCCAGCCCAGCCCACGTAAACTGTCAACGGGGGGAGCCTCGCTGCGGGGAAACGGTGGACCTAGTGTCCCGATCGGAGTGGGAATAATAATAATAATAAGAAATCCGTGCATTTTATCCATTAATTTCCCCAAAATTGTGGTAAAAGAAAACACACGTTTAATCCATGTTGGTGTACTACTACAACCAGTGGTGTAGTGGGGATGTTTTTACTGGGTGGACGGGGTGGTGGGTGAACGGGAGACACTATGGACGCGCTCGTGAACTGT